GGGGGCGTGCGCAGCCCCGGGCGCGGGGTCCACTGAACCCGGCCGGGGACAAGGGGCGGGTTGCGGTGGGGACGGACGCGCGCCCGGAGGGGCAGTGCCCAGAGGACGTGTCGGGCACGCGCCCGCCGGCCCGCTCTGCCCCGTGCGCTTGAGGCGGCCATGGGGCTAATGGCTCTCGGGGCTACTTGGGACCACCACCTGGGTGTCAGGATGCGGAGCGACCCTCAAAAGATCTGAATTCCATCCCTGCTGATCCACAGGGCCAGTTCTCCACTTCTGTTGGTGTCCTGAGATTCACATCGGGTACCTCTCCTCTCTCTTCTAATCCTGTCTGTATGTCTCTTCTTTCTCCTGTCTTCTCCCGGGTCAGAGAACACTGGGTCACTTCAGACCAGCAGTCCTCCTTCATTCCACACCACCCACCGGTTACCTTTCCCCATGTAGGTCCCTATGACAAGCACCTCTGGTCAGTAAGTTATCAGTCACCTTAGCAGCCAAGAGCCATGGTAGTAGCCCTCTCCAAGGTCAACCCAAACAGACCAGCATCAGTAAAGCTTTCAGCAGGGACCTCAGGTTGGGGAAGATAGGACAAGTCAAGAAGCAGATTTCTAGCAGTAGAACAAGAGAGTCCTGGGCTACCAATTAAAAAGGTATGGTATATGCTTAATGTTTTAGTTTTCTAGGGCTGCCACGGCAAAGCATCAGAGTGTGTGGCTTAAATAGCAAAAATTTATTTTCTTGCAGTTCTGGGGGCTAGAAGTCTAAGATTTAGTGTCTGCAGGGTTGGTTTCTTCTGAAGTTTCTCTCGTTTACTTGTAGATGACTGTCTTCTCCCTGTGTCTTCACATGGTCTCCCCCCTCTGATGTCTATCCAAATTTCCTCTTATAAGGACACCAGTGGTGTTGAATTAGGGCCCACCCTAAGGACCTCATTTTAACCTAATACTTTTTCAAATATTCTATCTCTGATTGTAATAACCTTCTGAAGTACTGAGATTAAGACTTCAAAATATAAGTTGCGGGGCACATTTTAACACATTCCATGTGTAGTGAGATAATCATTTGAGCATCATTCACGTGCAACCATAAAGCCCAATAATTTTTGTATGTAATGATTTAAAAATGTCAAGGTCACACCGATGCCAGATCCTGTATTAGTGGCTTCAGCCATTAATCTTTAGAGCTGCCTGTAGGATAGCTATTATTAAGGAAGGTATTTGTACACACGAGGAAACAGAAGCTCAGGGAAGCACAGTAAGTCAGTCTCTGTATTATGTATTATGCTTTAGTTAAGCAGGAAACATTGGAGTTCTAAATCCTGCATTCAAGTCCTAGATGATTCTGTCTCTGACCAGCTATGGAACGTGGACTTTTAATCTAGTAGTTAGAGATTCTAGTCTACTGATACCATATTCTATATTCTTTCTACAGCATCATGGGGGCATCTCTATTAAACCAAATGTTAACTGGAAACCATAATTGGGGACAGAAAGGTGAAAGGGGTATAAGTATTCACTAAATGAACAGGCTGATGTACAACTAAAGAGGAAAAGAACAACCACCTAGAGCTTAAGTTTTGAGTTAAACCTAGTAGTCACCTCCCTTCTTCACCCCACACTAAGTTCCTCACACAATTTTAATGATTCTGGTGGCTCAAATAACTTTGTTTGAATCTGACTTTCCCTGGCCTACTTTCTTTCTTTAAAAAAAAAATTTATTTATTTTTGTGTGGTGCTGAGAATCAAACCCAGTGCTTCACATGTGCAAGGCAAGTTTTCTTCCACTGAGCTACAGCCCCAGGCCCCAGGCCCACTTTTTTTCTTTTCCTTTTTTTTTTTTTTTTTTTTTTTTTTGTGGTGTTGGGGATTGAACCTAGAGCCATGGGCATGTGAGCCCAGGGCCACTTTCTAATACATTTTCTCTTTATTCTCTTTATTCTGTTTGGTACTCTATCTTATCCCCCCACCTCCAGTACTATGGATTGAACCCAGGGCCTTATACATGCTAGGCAAGTGCTCTACCAGTGCTCTACCCAGCCCTCTCTTTGGTACTCTGAACAGAGGCCATAGATTGTTCTCTGGATTAAAAACAGCATTACCACTAGCTTCCGAAATCAGAGCATGAAATGTGTAGTATTTACCCTGTAATTTCAGTTAGCACCACAATGTCACTCACCTAAGTCTCTCAGTCCTGTCATTCTTTTTCGGGGGGTGGGTGGTACCAGGGATTGAAATCAGGAGCTTTTGACCACTGAGCCACATCCCCAGCCCTATTTTGTATTTTATTTCGAGACAGGGTCTCACTGAGTTGCTGAGGCTGGTTTTGGACTCACAATCCTCCTGCCACAGCCTCCTGGGATTACAGATGTGTGATGCTGTGCCTAACAGTCCTGTCATTCTTGACCATTCTGATTATCTCCATTCTCATTCCCAAACTCACTCCTATTTGGGCACCTACTGCCCCTCTCCTGAGATGAGAACCCTTCCCTTCTGAGCCTTCCCGGATCAAAGTTATATAGTCAATAAACTCCTCTACTCCTTGGTCTGTTCAGCAAGCCCTCCCTCCACTTCCTGCTGTGGCTGAGTAGAAGCCAAGCCCCAGAATACCACTTCCTCTTCAGCTCTCTCTGACCATGGCTGTTCATTCTCCTAAACCTCAATTGCCTCTGGGATATGGTAAGGGTAAATAGAAAATTGATAATATAGTCACCCACAGTGTGCCAAAACTTGAATCATATTTTTATATTAAAACCACTTGCCACCTGACCAAACCAATCCAGGGCCTCCCTTGGTGGTGTAATGAACTCAGCTTCTGGTCTTATGTCTCAGTTCAGGCCCAGCTCTGGTTGTACTGAAAATCCTTGAGGTTAGGGCCCATGCTTTATTCAGGTATTCAGGTTTGTTGCATAACAATCTACCAGGTGCTGAATGCCTTTGGGGGGACATTTATGGAATGAATGAATGTGTAAATGGTAAAAGCTAAAAATGGTTCAGTGGAAACATTTGGGTGAAGTGCCAATATCTCTAAAGAACATACTTTGAATCAGATTGTCCTGGGTTCAAATCCCACGTCTGCAGCTTGCCTGCCAAGTACTTAGGGCAGGTTTTCTTAACTGCTCAAGGGTGTCTTGAAGAGGAAGTTAAATCCTATATGTGCATACTCTTGTATGCCTGGCACATAGTTCTCTGTCCTTCCACCCTTCCCCCAGCTAAAATCCACAATGTACTCTCTGCTCCACTGCTGCTGTCTTACTGTCCCTTGAGAAACAATGAGCTAGAGATCTCCACTCAGTACAACTGAGGAGAGCAGAGCCATCAGGGACTAATCATGTTTACACATCCTGTGTCTGAGCCACCTGAGAGGGTTTTGACTCACTGATCTGGAGATGAGAGCCAGACACAGAGAACATGCTTGGTCAAAGTTCATGAATGAAACTGAACTTCTCAAATGTGTCAGTGCTCTCCTGAGGCCAGGCTGTGCCAGGGGGAGCCTCACTAGTGGATGCCAGGCCAAAAGGTAGGACTTGGGCCACCAGCGCTGCTTGTGGCACTCCATTTCTGTCTGGGCTACTCTCTGTTGGTGCTTTGAAGTTGAGGAGGAACTTCTTTGCAGGATATGGACTTTCACTATTTTTTTAAATTTTTGTACCAGGGATTGAACCTGGGGCACTTAACCACTGAGCCACATCCTTAGCCCTTTTTTATATTTTATTTAGAGACAGGGTCCTGCTAAATTGCTTAGGGCCTAGCTAAGTTGCTGAGGCTCATCTTGAGCTCTCAGTCCTCCTGGCTCAGCCTTCCAAATTGCTGGGATTACAGGTGTACACCACCTTATCCAGCAACTTTCATTCTTCTTTAGCTGAGGAACCCCTTATTCAAAGAAACAAACAAACAAAACAAAAAAACTAAGTGGAACTTAAAGAGAAGCTATTCTGGCTGAGAGGTACAGAGACCCGAGGTGCTTTACCACTGAGCCACAACCTCAACCCTTTTTAATTTTTTTTTTTTTTTTTATTTTGACACAGGGCCTTGCTAAGTTGCTGAGGCTGGGCTTACATTTGCGATCCTCTTGCTTCTGCCTGCCAAGTTGCTGGGATTACAGACATGTGCCACCACCATACCCAGCTCATTGCATTTTTATTGAGATATAATTCTTTTACCATAAAATGCATCATTTTAAAGTTTACAATTCAGTGACGTTTATTGTATTCACAAGGTGCAACTATCACTACTATCAAATTCTAGAATATTTTCATCTTCCCCCAAAAGAAACCTAAACCCATTAGCAGTCACCGCCCACTCTCTCCTCCTAACAACCCCTAAAAAACACTAATTGACTTCCTGTCTCTCTGAATCTGTCTATTCCAGCCATTTCATACAATTAGAATCATATCATATGGGACCTTTTATATTTTTTCTCTTCCATTTAGCATAATGTTTTCAAGGCTGCTTTTTAAAAAATATTTTTAGGGGGCTGGGGATGTGGCTCAAGCGGTAGCGCGCTCGCCTGGCATGCGTGCGGCCCGGGTTCGATCCTCAGCACCACATACCAACAAAGATGTTGTGTCCGCCGAGAACTGAAAAATAAATATTAAAAAATTCTCTCTCTCACTCTCTCTTTAAAAAAAATA